TTCACTCCCTGAATGATTTCTATATTAAGCGATTGAATTTTGATACGGCATGTCACAACACAATCTCATAATTATAATTGTACATGTACAATACAAACAAATGGTAGCATACAGGTGAAAATATTTGAAAGTTTCTCATTTGGCTTAGGGTTGTACAAATACTTTCGTTAAATATGATTCAGCTACAACTTTGAACTAAAAAAAACAGGGCTACACAATAGCCCTGAAAATCGTAATGAGCGTGATAACTCTAGATAACTCTAACATTGACCTTATCATGATGCTAATAAGCTTAACATTTGCCTTATCATTTGATAATTTTGAGCAAAGCTCTCTTATTATTGTATAAATGTGTACCAAATGGCACTGAATAGTCACAATGCATATCTATGACTTATATTTATGATGATTCCTCTGATGTAAAGCCATAATATTTAAAAAATATAGCATCTTAACATTGACCTTACCATTATGCTAATTAGCTTAACATTCACCTTATCATTTGATAATTTTGACAAAATTCCCATTATTTTTGTGTAAATGTGTACTAAATGTCACCATATAGTCACAAGACATATCGATGAGCTATATTTATGATGAATCTTCTGATGCAAAGCCAAAACATTTAAAAAATATAACATCTTAACATTGACCTTATCATTATGCTAATTAGCTTAACATTCACCTTATCATTGATAATTTTGAGCAAAACTCTCTTTATTATTGTATAAATGTGTACCAAATGGCAATAAATAGTCACAATGCATATTGATGACTTATATTGATAATGATTCCTCTGATGTAAAGCCAAAGTATAGAAAAAATATAGCATTTTAACATTGACCTTATCATTATATTTTGTTGTATAATGTTCACTCCCCCCTGGTAAATGGTTCTTTTGCAACAATAGACTCCTTAAGTAGATAAGTTGAAAATAGTGGGAAAATAAAAGTGGCATCTTAACATTCTACTTATCATGTAGTGTGGACGCGGACGGGGACGGGGACGGGGACGGGGACGGGGACGGGGACGGGGACGGGGACGGGGACGGGGCGGGGACGGGGACGGGGACGGGGACGGGGACGGGGACGGGGACGGGGACGCGGACGCCAAGACTATAGCAATAGCTCTCTTGCACTAAAGTGCAGGCGAGCTAACGAGTATAAATAAAACCGAAGTTAGCTGTCACACTTCAGATCTGACGAAAGAGCACTCGCTAGATTCGGCTTTCGAAACAAATTTAAAGTTTTTTATGTGTAAATAGCCTTCTTAAACGTTGTATATAGCTCCTTATGTTGAGCACTTGTATGGCAAAGGAAACCACCTATCATTATTATCATTATACACACAAAAACAAGTGTGTAGAATTACACACTAAGGTGTGTTTGACTGCACACCAAGGTGTGCTTAATTGCACGCCATGGTGTGTAATCATACATGTCCAATACTGTCGCATGCGTGCGGATCGACAACCTTTTTCACCATTCGTAAACTACATTTTCGTTTCGTGACACTTTTCACGGATCGATACTGATGGTAAAACGGGACATACAAACGGACTGAATCCCGACTGACGTACGAACCGTACGAATGGAAAAAACCCAGTTACCATTTGTAAATTTATTAACGAGTGCGCTCCTTTGGAGTACGATATCCGCATACACGCACGAAACGACTGTCGATTCGTTCAATCCTTACCAACCGTACGAATGAAAAACGTTCATATACCAATTGTAAAAAATTCATCACAGCACCGTTTCCGCTATACGTCTAAACCCCTGTGGAGTACGATATCCCCATACACGAAACGACTGTCGATTCGTACCATCCGTACCAACCGTACGAATGGAAAACGTGCATTTATAACCAATCGTAAATAACACCGTTTCCGCTATACGCTTAGACCCCTTTTGAGGACGATACCAATACACGAGTTTTTAAAATAACTCGCTAGATATCGCTTCAATATATTTTACCCAAGATATGACTTATCAATTAAATAGACTATTTACTGATATATAATATTCCTCGTTCTCAAGAAAAACACGAGCAATATAAGATGTTGTTATTAAAAGCCGCAAGATATCACTGCAATATATATATATATATATATTATTATATATATATTATATATATATATATATATATATATATATATATATAGCGCACAAGATATGCATATCTATCAGTAAAATAGAACACTATATAGGTATATGTAGCATTCCTCGTTCTCAAGACAAAAACGAGCGATATATATATATATATATATATACGCGCATTCTCGATAAAAGCGACCAAACACAAGCATTCTCGATAAAACCTGCATGCATGCATGCAATGTTCCCCTGCATGCAATAACTGTATATGCGTCATACATCACAAAGCTTTACTTTACTAAATACATGCATGCAGCACTCAAGATAACTGCCTGTATTTGCCTGTATATGAGTATTAATGTAGCTAACATTCCTCGTTGTCAAAAAAACCCCAGCAATGATTAAATAGTGCATGCATGTATACTTTTAATGGAAAACTTTCATTTACCAACCGCTATACGCATAGACATAGATTCCCTTGGAGTATGAAATCAAAACACGCATTGCTAAAAAACCCCGCTAGATATCACTTCTATGTAATATTATGGTACCCAAGATATTCCTATCAATACAATAGTCTAATTATATATGATATTCCTTCGTTTTCAAGAAAAATACGAGCAATATAACATGCGTTGTTATTAAAATCCGCAAAATGTTAATGCATTATATATAGCACATGCACATGATTGGTATCGAATGGACTGTTCGTTTACGATCCGTAAACAGACTGTGTCGATTCGTAAATAGGGACGATGTGTCTAGGATAGGCCTCTGAAAAGCTTGTCGATCCGTACCATTGGTATCGAATGGACTTTTCGTTTACGATCCGTAAACAAATTGTGTCGATTCGTAAATAGGGCATGATGTGTCTAGGACAGGGCTCTGAAAAGCTTGTCGATCCGTACCATTGGTATCGAATGGACTGTTCGTTTACGATCCGTAAACAGAGTGTGTCGATTCGTAAATAGGGACGATGTGTCTAGGATAGGCCTCTGAAGGTTTTTGTCCATTTGTAAATAAAGTAATTTAACACCATGCGAGTGATGCGACTAAGGTTTGTCCCCGAAAAGGTGTCGATCGAAAACAATTTGTGATAAAGATACGTTTAAATTAACGCTGTTCCTTTTCAATAACGGCTGCCCTCCTTATGTCATTTTCGAATGGATTGTTTCGTCGCTATAGTAGCTACATATAACAAGTCTATTTTAATATCGTAGCTAGAGATTTGCCAGGCGGAAAACGACTTCTTATGATAAATATGAGAGCCCAATATAATTAGAAAATTATGAAAGCCATCAAAACAATTCAGAGTTTAAGAAAATACATTTCTAACGTTTTGTCTTTAACTTAAAGACATCTCTATTTTATTAATAGACATATCTTGTGAAGTTGTCCAATGGTACGGATCGACAAGCTTTTCAGAGCCCTGTCCTAGACACATCCTGCCCTATTTACGAATCGACACACTCTGTTTACGGATCGTAAACGAACAGTCCATTCGATACCAATGGTACGGATCGGCAAGCTTTTCAGAGCCCTGTCCTAGACACATCTTCCCTATTTACGAATCGACACAATTTGTTTACGGATCGTAAACGAACACTAGTCCATTCGATACCAATGGTACGGATCGACAAGCTTTTCAGAGGCCTATCCTGGACACATCGTCCCTATTTACGAATCGACACACTCTGTTTACGGATCGTAAACGAACAGTCCATTCGACACCAATGGTACGGATCGACAAGCTTTTCAGATGCTTATCCCAAACACATCTGGCCCAATTTACGAATCGACACAGTTTGTTTACGGATCGTAAACTAACTGTCCATTCGACACCAATGGTACGAATCGACAAGCTTTTCAGATGCCTATCCCAGACACATCTGGCCCAATTTACGAATCGACACAGTTTGTTTACGGATCGTAAACGAACAGTCCATTCGATACCAATAGTACGTACGGATCAACAAGATTTAGAGGGGTCTGTAGCTTGGCACATCTCCTTTTTACCAATGGACAAAATCTGTTTTTACGGATCGTAAACCAACGGTCCATTTGATACCAATGGTACGGATCGACAATCTCTTCATCGCCTTATCCTATAGACACAACTTGCCCTATTTACAAATGGACACAGTCGGTTTGGGGATACAGCTGTTTACGCCTTAGACACACGCTAGTTTCCATGCCTCATGTTCTAGTCGACAAAATGCGTTTACGAATCGACATAGTCTATTTACGGATCGTAAACTAAGAGTCTATTCAATACCAATGGTGCGAATGGTTGCTTACTTCGATCTAACGAATAGAAATGCCTAAAGCACTTTACCATCCGTATAAAAAAATTTACGAAACGAACGACCCGTATGCTTGCAACAGTATTGGACAACCATCTGTGTAATTTGGCACACCTTTCTACGCTCTTTAAGAAAACACACTTTGGTGTGTAGGGAAAACACCTTTGTGTGTTAGCGAAAACACCTCTTTTGCACACCTTTCCTTTTGTTCATTAATGTGTGTAAACACACCTTGGTGTGTTTGACAGCACACCTTGACAATAAGAATGTCGCAAGGTGTGAAACCCACGCGTCTTGTATTGCAGTGCTTTTCGAATCATTTGTGTCAAACATTTGTCTCTATCTGTTTGTAAAGAATAAATTTATGGTTCCTTTACAAACGATGCAAAGAAATTCATGACTGCTCTTCGAAGGTCCCTAGTAGGTTGAGAGTGAAAAGTCTGCTTCATTCTAATTCCGAGACTACCGAAGCGCATGGCGACGCGAACAGTTTCGACATCACAAGAGAGACTTGGTGAGTCATACGTTTTATCTTTCAAAATTTAATTGTTCTAGGTGCTTTTGAAAAGCAAATTTATAAGTATATCGATAAATGCATAAGGCTGTTTATGCTATTGTTTATGCTTCGCATAAAGAAAGCATATAATTCGCTAGGTATAATCTTGATGATATGTTTAATATTTTGTATTCCTTTTGGGGGTCAGTAACATTCCAAAGGACCAATTTTTGTCCTCACTCTACTGTATTTGCTTTCTAAATGCTGTACACATTGGATAGTTGATTTGACTGAATGTTCCAGAGTAGTTTATACTTTTTAATAGAGTTGAGAACTAGCTTACCCTTTTAATTGACTTGACTACTAGCTACATAATTAAATAAAATTTTTCCATTTTAAAGACACTATATGAGATGTACCCAGACCCCAACTTTTCAAATTTCAAGATAAGTTATAATTCATTTAATTATACCTGTGTATACCTGGCAATACATCCTAAATTCTGTTACAAAAATAAATCTTAATTCATAAATTGGTTATCATTTACCATGGTCTATTAACAGATGCTTGCGCACATGCATCTTAAATTGGAAAATTGTAAATGCCAGATCCTCTTATGCATTTAATTTATATTTTCAGGTTACCTTTATTGATTATACGAAGATTATGAATTAAAGCGATGATGTTATTGCAACAGTTTAGCCTGAGTCTGTTGAGCAGGCACTATATACATTATAACAAGCAAGAACAAGGGTGACCAACAAGACAGGAAAACAAGACCAAGTGTCCAGTCGAGACGTCAAGTCAAAAAACTGTATTTAGAGTAAGACATTATGTTAAACTAAACTGCATGCTTAAAGATATTTATACAATTCTTCTGGTGTTTTCATCTTCAACAAAATCAACAACTGCACTACCACAGTCTTCTTCGTCATCACAATGTTTGGTTGTTTCTACCTTCATTTTGGGTTGAAATATATGAATTAAATAAAACGTGAATTTTATTATCGCTAAACTTTTGAAAAAAAGAACTGCTTATTTATAACCGTCCACTCAGTCCGTTTCATCTGCATAGGAATCTTCAGGCGGTAGAAAATTTTTATTTGTTATTTGTCCACGCCTGGAATATTTCTATACGCATGAAACTGACAGTATAGTGAACGTTTCTTGGAAAGCAATACTTTTTAAGGATATATATTCTATATTTATGTATATTATATATGCTGTGCGAATTTTCGTACGTATAAGCGCCTAAGGTTTAAAATCATTTACTTTAATACTTATAAATAAACGATTGAATATAGATGGTGGATAGGGTTGGATTCTTCGTTACGTAGTTCCCCGCCCCGTGAAGACAAAAGACCCTGGGTACGAGGTTGTGAATATGAATGTATAGGGTTGGATTCTTTTGATATTGTGGTGTGTTTTCTCTGTTATAAATTAATTACACAAAAACTTATGAAGGTTTTAGGTTTTTGTGTGCGAGTAAAACCAAAAACGCGAAAATGGAGAGAGCGGACCTTACTTTATGCCCATTCGACATTGACTTGGAAACGATTTCGTACAATGTTTCGCGGTTATCTGCATTGGCTGAGTTCGGCAAGACTCTAACTGCAAACGTGTCCTTGACTGAATCCTAAGAAATTAAAGTATACAAAGACGCGTAATGTTGCAAGTTTAAGAGGAGGGATTTGTCCCAAGTGCCGAAAGGCGTCTCCATGAGCTTACATTCCTTCTCCCAAGATCTATAACTGACGCGTAATTCTAACACTGTGCTCGAAAATATTAAATATTCCAGAAAAAATATAATCTCAAATCTATTTTTTTATACTGCGGTGTTATGCTAGCTCATTTCTGGACAGGTACTGTACTATGTCTTTGCATGCATATTGTTTTATTGCTAATCCTAGCGCGATTGATAATTATACCTTGTCTTTTACAGGAAATGGCCTTCTGTGTTTTCATCTTCAACAAAATCAATAACTGCACTACCACAGTCTTCTTCGTCATCACAATTTTTGGTTGTTTTTACCTTCGTTTTGGGTTGAAATATATGAATTAAGTAAAACGTGAATTTCATTTGCAAACTTTTGAAAAAAAAACTGCTTATTTATAACCGTCCACTCAGTTCGTTTCATCTGCACAGAAATGTTCAGGCGGTAGACAATTTTTATTTGTTATTTGTCCACGCCTGGAAGATTTCTATACAGATGAAACTGACAATATATTGGACGTTTCTTGGAAAGCAATACTTTAAGGATATATTCTATATTTATGTATATTATATATGCTGTGCGCATTTTCGTACGTATAAGCGCCTAAGTTTTAAAATCATTTACTTTAATACTTATAAATAAACGATTGAATATGGATGGTGGATAGGGTTGGATTCTTCGTTACGTAGTTCCCCGCCCCGTGAAGACAAAAGACCCTGGGTACGAGGTTGTGAATATGAATGTATAGGGTTTGATTCTTTTGATATTGTGGTGTGTTTTCTCTGTTATAAATTAATTACACAAAAACTTATGAAGGTTTTAGGTTTTTGTGTGCGAGTAAAACCAAAAACGCGAAAATGGAGAGAGCGGACCTTACTTTATGCCCATTCGACATTGACTTGGAAACGATTTCGTACAATGTTTCGCGGTTATCTGCATTGGCTGAGTTCGGCAAGACTCTAACTGCAAACGTGTCCTTGACTGAATCCTAAGAAATTAAAGTATACAAAGACGCGTAATGTTGCAAGTTTAAGAGGAGGGATTTGTCCCAAGTGCCGAAAGGCGTCTCCATGAGCTTACATTCTTTCTCGCAAGATCTATAACTGACGCGTAATTCTAAAACTGTGCTCGAAAATATTAAATATTACAGAAAAAATATAATCTCAAATCTATTTTTTTATACTGCGGTGTTATGCTAGCTCATTTCTGGACAGGTACTGTACTATGTCTTTGCATGCATATTGTTTTATTGCTAATCCTAGCGCGATTGATAATTATACCTTGTCTTTTACAGGAAATGGCCTTCTGCTGTTTTCATCTTCAACAAAATCAATAACTGCACTACCACAGTCTTCTTCGTCATCACAATTTTTGGTTGTTTTTACCTTCGTTTTGGGTTGAAATATATGAATTAAGTAAAACGTGAATTTCATTATTGCAAAACTTTTGAAAAAAAAACTGCTTATTTATAACCGTCCACTCAGTTCGTTTCATCTGCACAGAAATGTTCAGGCGGTAGACAATTTTTATTTGTTATTTGTCCACGCCTGGAAGATTTCTATACAGATGAAACTGACAATATATTGGACGTTTCTTGGAAAGCAATACCTTTAAAGGATATATATTCTATATTTATGTATATTATATATGCTGTGCGCATTTTCGTACGTATAAGCGCCTAAGTTTTAAAATCATTTACTTTAATACTTATAAATAAACGATTGAATATGGATGGTGGATAGGGTTGGATTCTTCGTTACGTAGTTCCCCGCCCCGTGAAGACAAAAGACCCTGGGTACGAGGTTGTGAATATGAATGTATAGGGTTTGATTCTTTTGATATTGTGGTGTGTTTTCTCTGTTATAAATTAATTACAAAAACTTATGAAGGTTTTAGGTTTTTGTGTGCGAGTAAAACCAAAAACGCGAAAATGGAGAGAGCGGACCTTACTTTATGCCCATTCGACATTGACTTGGAAACGATTTCGTACAATGTTTCGCGGTTATCTGCATTGGCTGAGTTCGGCAAGACTCTAACTGCAAACGTGTCCTTGACTGAATCCTAAGAGATTAAAGTATACAAAGACGCGTAATGTTGCAAGTTTAAGAGGAGGGATTTGTCCCAAGTGCCGAAAGGCGTCTCCATGAGCTTACATTCTTTCTCGCAAGATCTATAACTGACGCGTAATTCTAACACTGTGCTCGAAAATATTAAATATTACAGAAAAAATATAATCTCAAATCTATTTTTTTATACTGCGGTGTTATGCTAGCTCATTTCTGGACAGGTACTGTACTATGTCTTTGCATGCATATTGTTTTATTGCTAATCCTAGCGCGATTGATAATTATACCTTGTCTTTTACAGGAAATGGCCTTCTGGTGTTTTCATCTTCAACAAAATCAATAACTGCACTACCACAGTCTTCTTCGTCATCACAATTTTTGGTTGTTTTTACCTTCGTTTTGGGTTGAAATATATGAATTAAGTAAAACGTGAATTTCATTATTGCTAAACTTTTGAAAAAAAGAACTGCTTATTTATAACCGTCCACTCAGTTCGTTTCATCTGCACAGAAATGTTCAGGCGGTAGACAATTTTTATTTGTTATTGTCCACGCCTGGAAGATTTCTATACAGATGAAACTGACCATATATTGGACGTTTCTTGGAAAGCAATACTTTTTAAGGATATATATTCTATATTTATGTATATTATATATGCTGTGCGCATTTTCGTACGTATAAGCGCCTAAGGTTTAAAATCATTTACTTTAATACTTATAAATAAACGATTGAATATAGATGGTGGATAGGGTTGGATTCTTCGTTACGTAGTTCCCCGCCCCGTGAAGACAAAAGACCCTGGGTACGAGGTTGTGAATATGAATGCATAGGGTTGGATTCTTTTGATATTGTGGTGTGTTTTCTCTGTTATAAATTAATTCGCAACACAAAAACTTATGAAGGTTTTAGGTTTTTATGTGCGAGTAAAAGCAAAAACGCGAAAATGGAGAGAGCGGACCTTACTTTATGCCCATTCGACATTGACTTGGAAACGATTTCGTACAATGTTTCGCGGTTATCTGCATTGGCTGAGTTCGGAAAGACTTTAACTGCAAACGTGTCCTTGACTGAATCCTAAGAAATTAAAGTATACAAAGACGCGTAATATTGCAAGTTTAAGAGTAAGGATTTGTCCCAAGTGCTGAAAGGCGTGTCCATGAGCTTACACTCTTTCTGGCAAGATCCATAACTGACGCGTAATTCTAACACTGTGCACGAAAATATTAAATATTACAGAAAAAATATAATCTCAAATCTATTTTTTTATACTGCGGTGTTATAGCTAGCTCATTTCTGGACAGGTACTGTACTATGTCTATGCATGTTGTTTTATTGCTAATCCTAGCGCGATTGATGAATATACCTTGTCTTTTACAGGAAATGGCCTTCTGCTGTTTTCATCTTCAACAAAATCAACAACTGCACTACCACAGTCTTCTTCGTCATCACAATTTTTGGTTGTTTTTACCTTCGTTTTGGGTTGAAATATATGAATTAAGTAAAACGTGAATTTCATTATCGCTAAACTTTTGAAAAAAAGAACTGCCTATTTATAACCGTCCACTCAGTTCGTTTCATCTGCACAGAAATCTTCAGGCGGTAGACAATTTTTATTTGTTATTTGTCCATGCCTGGAAGATTTCTATACGGATGAAAATGACAGTATAGTCGACGTTTCTTGGAAAGCAATACTTTTTAAGGATATAAATTCTAAATATTTATGTATATTATATATGCTGTGCGCATTTTCGTACGTATAAGCGCCTAAGGTTTAAAATCATTTACTTTAATACTTTAAATAAACGATTGAATATAGATGGTGGATAGGGTTGGATTCTTCGTTACGTAGTTCCCCGCCCCGTGAAGACAAAAGACCCTGGGTACGAGGTTGTGAATATGAATGCATAGGGTTTGATTCTTTTGATATTGTGGTGTGTTTTCTCTGTTATAAATTAATTACACAAAAACGTATGAAGGTTTTAGGCTTTTCGCGTGCGAGTAAAATCAAAAACGCGGGAATGGAGAGAGCGGACCTTACTTTATGCCCATTCGACATTGACTTGGAAACGATTTCGTACAATGTTTCGCGGTTATCTGCATTGGCTGAGTTCGGCAAGACTCTAACTGCAAACGTGTCCTTGACTGAATCCTAAGAAATTAAAGTATACAAAGACGCGTAATGTTGCAAGTTTAAGAGGAGGGATTTGTCCCAAGTGCCGAAAGGCGTCTCCATGAGCTTACATTCTTTCTCGCAAGATCTATAACTGACGCGTAATTCTAAAACTGTGCTCGAAAATATTAAATATTACAGAAAAATATAATCTCAAATCTATTTTTTATACTGCGGTGTTATGCTAGCTCATTTCTGGACAGGTACTGTACTATGTCTTTGCATGCATATTGTTTTATTGCTAATCCTAGCGCGATTGATAATTATACCTTGTCTTTTACAGGAAATGGCCTTCTGCTGTTTTCATCTTCAACAAAATCAACAACTGCACTACCACAGTCCTCTTCGTCATCACAATTTTTTGTTGTTTCTACCTTCATTTTGGGTTGAAATATATGAATTAGATAAAATGTGAATTTCATTATCGCTAAACTTTTGAAAAAAATAACTGCTTATTTATAACCGTTCACTCAGTTCGTTTCATCTGCACAGAAATCTTCCGGCGGTAGACAATTTTTATTTTTTATTTGTTGACGCCTGGAGGATTTCTATACGGATGAAACTGACAGTATAGTGGACGTTTCTTGGAAAGCAATACTTTTTAAGGATATACAGTATATTCTATTATGTATATTATATATGCTGTCGCATTTTCGTACGTATTAGCGCCTAAGGTTTAAAATCATTTACGATAATACTTATAAAATAAACAATATAATATAGATGGTAGGGTTTGATTCTTCTTTGCGTAGTTCCGCGCCCCGTGAACACAAAAGACCCTGGGTACGAGGTATTGAATATGAATGCATAGGGTTGGATTCTTTTGATATTGTGGTGTGTTTTCTCTGATATAAATTAATTACACAAAAACTTATGAAGGTTTTAGGCTTTTACGTGCGAGTAAATTCAAAACGCGAAAATGGAGAGAGCGGACCTTACTTTATGCCCATTCGACATTGATTTGGAAAGGATTTCGTACAATTTTCGCGGTTATCTGCACTGGCTGAGTTCGGCAAGACTCTAACTGCAAACGTGTCCTTGACTGAATCCTAAGAAATTAAAGTATACAAAGATGCGTAATATTGCAAGTTTAAGAGGAGGGATTTGTCCCAAGTGCCGAAAGGCGTCTCCATGAGCTTACATTCCTTCTCGCCAGATCTATAACTGACGCGTAATTCTAACACTGTGCTCGAAAATATTAAATATTACAGAAAAATATAATCTCAAATCTATTTTTTTATACTGCGGTGTTATGCTAGCTCATTTCTGGACAGGTACTGTACTATGTCTTTGCATGCATATTGTTTTATTGCTAATCCTAGCGCGATTGATAATTATAGCTTGTCTTTTACAGGAAATGGCCTTCTGGTGTTTTCATCTTCAACAAAATCAATAACTGCACTACCACAGTCTTCTTCGTCATCACAATTTTTGGTTGTTTTTATCTTCGTTTTGGGTTGACATATATGAATTAAGTAAAACGTGAATTTCATTATTGCTAAACTTTTGAAAAAAAGAACTGCTTATTTATAACCGTGCACTAAGTTCGTTTCATCTGCACAGAAATGTTCAGGCGGTAGACAATTTTTATTTGTTATTTGTCCACGCCTAGAAGATTTCTATACAGATGAAACTGACAATATATTGGACGTTTCTTGGAAAGCAATACTTTTTAAGGATATATTCTATATTTATGTATATTATATATGCTGTGCGCATTTTCGTACGTATAAGCACCTAAGGTTTAAAATCATTTACTTTAATACTTATAAATAAACGATTGAATATGGATGGTGGATAGGGTTGGATTTTTCGTTACGTAGTTCCCCGCCCCGTGAAGACAAAAGACCCTGGGTACGAGGTTGTGAATATGAATGTATAGGGTTTGATTCTTTTGATATTGTGGTGTGTTTTCTCTGTTATAAATTAATTACACAAAAACTTATGAAGGTTTTAGGTTTTTGTGTGCGAGTAAAACCAAAACGCGAAAATGGAGAGAGCGGACCTTACTTTATGCCCATTCGACATTGACTTGGAAACGATTTCGTACAATGTTTCGCGGTTATCTGCATTGGCTGAGTTCGGCAAGACTCTAACTGCAAACGTGTCCTTGACTGAATCCTAAGAAATTAAAGTATACAAAGACGCGTAATGTTGCAAGTTTAAGAGGAGGGATTTGTCCCAAGTGCCGAAAGGCGTCTCCATGAGCTTACATTCCTTCTCCCAAGATCTATAACTGACGCGTAATTCTAACACTGTGCTCGAAAATATTAAATATTACAGAAAAAATATAATCTCAAATCTATTTTTTTATACTGCGGTGTTATGCTAGCTCATTTCTGGACAGGTACTGTACTATGTCTTTGCATGCATATTGTTTTATTGCTAATCCTAGCGCGATTGATAATTATACCTTGTCTTTTACAGGAAATGGCCTTCTGGTGTTTTCATCTTCAACAAAATCAATAACTGCACTACCACAGTCTTCTTCGTCATCACAATTTTTGGTTGTTTTTACCTTCGTTTTGGGTTGAAATATATGAATAAAGTAAAACGTGAATTTCATTATTGCTAAACTTTTGAAAAAAAGAACTGCTTATTTATAACCGTCCACTCTGTTCGTTTCATCTGCACAGAAATGTTCAGGCGGTAGACAATTTTTATTTGTTATTTGTCCACGCTTGGAAGATTTCTATACAGATGAAACTGACAATATATTGGACGTTTCTTGGAAAGCAATACTTTTTAAGGATATATATTCTATATTTATGTATATTATATATGCTGTGCGCATTTTCGTACGTATAAGCGCCTAAGGTTTAAAATCATTTACTTTAATACTTATAAATAAACGATTGAATATAGATGGTGGATAGGGTTGGATTCTTCGTTACGTAGTTCCGCGCCCGGTGAAGACAAAAGACCCTGGGTACGAGGTTGTGAATATGAATGCATATAGGGTTGGATTCTTTTGATATTGTGGTGTGTTTTCTCTGTTATAAATTAATTACACAAAAACTTATGAAGGTTTTAGGTTTTTATGTGCGAGTAAAACCAAAAACGCGAAAATGGAGAGAGCGGACCTTACTTTATGCCCATTCGACATTGACTTGGAAACGATTTCGTACAATGTTTCGCGGTTATCTGCATTGGCTGAGTTCGGCAAGACTCTAACTGCAAACGTGTCCTTGACTGAATCCTAAGAAATTAAAGTATACAAAGACGCGTAATATTCCAAGTTTAAGAGTAGGGATTTGTCTCAAGTGCTGAAAGGCGTGTCCATGAGCTACATTCTTTCTGGCAAGATCACAACTGACGCGTAATTCTAACACTATGCGCGAAAATATTAAATATTACAGAAAAAATATTATCTCAAATATATTTTTTTATACTGCGGTGTTATAGCTAGCTCATTTCTGGACAGGTACTGTACTATGTCTATGCATCTTGTTTTATTGCTAATCCTAGCGCGATTGATAATTATACCTTGTCTTTTACAGGAAATGGCCTTCTGGTGTTTTCATCTTCAACAAAATCAACAACTGCACTACCACAGTCTTCTTCGTCATCACAATTTTTGGTTGTTTTTACCTTCGTTTTGGGTTGAAATATATGAATAAAGTAAAACGTGAACTTCATTATTGCTAAACTTTTGAAAAAAAGAACTGCTTATTTATAACCGTCCACTCTGTTCGTTTCATCTGCACAGAAATGTTCAGGCGGTAGACAATTTTTATTTGTTATTTGTCCACGCTGGAAGATTTCTATACGATGAAACTGACATATATTCGACGTTTCTTGGAAAGCAATACTTTTTAAGGATATATATTCTATATTTATGTATATTATATATGCTGTGCGCATTTTCGTACGTATAAGCGCCTAAGGTTTAAAATCATTTACTTTAATACTTATAAATAAACGATTGAATATAGATGGTGGATAGGGTTGGATTCTTCGTCACGTAGTTCTCCGCCCCGTGAAGACAAAAGACCCTGGGTACGAGGTTGTGAATATGAATGCATAGGGTTGGATTCTTTTGATATTGTGGTGTGTTTTCTCTGTTATAAATTAATTACACAAAAACTTATGAAGGTTTTAGGCTTTCGCGTGCGAGTAAAATCAAAAACGGAATGGAGAGAGCGGACCTTACTTTATGCCCATTCGACATTGACTTGGAAACGATTTCGTACAATGTTTCGCGGTTATCTGCATTGGCTGAGTTCGGAAAGACTTTAACTGCAAACGTGTCCTTGACTGAATCCTAAGAAATTAAAGTATACAAAGACGCGTAATATTGCAAGTTTAAGAGTAAGGATTTGTCCCAAGTGCTGAAAGGCGTGTCCATGAGCTTACACTCTTTCTGGCAAGATCAACAACTGACACGTAATTCTAACACTGTGCACGAAAATATTAAATATTACAGAAAAAATATAATCTCAAATCTATTTTTTTATACTGCGGTGTTACAGCTAGCTCATTTCTGGACAGGTACTGTACTATGTCTATGAATGTTGTTTTATTGCTAATCCTAGCGCGATTGATGAATATACCTTGTCTTTTACAGGAAATGGCCTTCTTCTGTTTTCATCTTCAACAAAATCAACAACTGCACTACCACAGTCTTCTTCGTCATCACAATTTTTGGTTGTTTTTACCTTCGTTTTGGGTTGAAATATATGAATTAAGTAAAACGTGAATTTCATTATCGCTAAACTTTTGAAAAAAAGAACTGCCTATTTATAACCGTCCACTCAGTTCGTTTCATCTGCACAGAAATCTTCAGGCGGTAGACAATTTTTATTTGTTATTTGTCCATGCCTGGAAGATTTCTATACGGATGAAAATGACAGTATAGTCGACGTTTCTTGGAAAGCAATACTTTTTAAGGATATAAATTCCATATTTATGTATATTATATATGCTGTGCGCATTTTCGTACGTATAAGCGCCTAAGGTTTAAAATCATTTACTTTAATACTTATAAATAAACGATTGAATATAGATGGTGGATAGGGTTGGATTCTTCGTTACGTAGTTCCCCGCCCCGTGAAGACAAAAGACCCTGGGTACGAGGTTGTGAATATGAATGCATAGGGTTTGATTCTTTTGATATTGTGGTGTGTTTTCTCTGTTATAAATTAATTACACAAAAACGTATGAAGGTTTTAGGCTTTCGCGTGCGAGTAAAATCAAAAACGCGGGAATGGAGAGAGCGGACCTTACTTTATGCCCATTCGACATTGACTTGGAAACGATTTCGTACAATGTTTCGCGGTTATCTGCATTGGCTGAGTTCGGCAAGACTCTAACTGCAAACGTGTCCTTGACTGAATCCTAAGAAATTAAAGTATACAAAGACGCGTAATGTTGCAAGTTTAAGAGGAGGGATTTGTCCCAAGTGCCGAAAGACGTCTCCATGAGCTTACATTCTTTCTCGCAAGATCTATAACTGACGCGTAATTCTAAAACTGTGCTCGAAAATATTAAATATTACAGAAAAAATATAATCTCAAATCTATTTTTTTATACTGCGGTGTTATGCTAGCTCATTTCTGGACAGGTACTGTACTATGTCTTTGCATGCATATTGTTTTATTGCTAATCCTAGCGCGATTGATAATTATACCTTGTCTTTTACAGGAAATGGCCTTCTGCTGTTTTCATCTTCAACAAAATCAACAACTGCACTACCACAGTCCTCTTCGTCATCACAATTTTTGGTTGTTTTACCTCATTTTGGGTTGAAATATATGAATTAGGTAAAATGTGAATTTCATTATCGCTAAACTTTTGAAAAAATAACTGCTTATTTATAACCGTTCACTCAGTTCGTTTCATCAGCACAGAAATCTTCAGGCGGTAGACAATTTTTATTTGTTATATTTGTTGACGCCTGGAGGATTTCTATACGGATGAAACTGACAGTATAGTGGACGTTTCTTGGAAAGCAATACTTTTTAAGGATATACAGTATATTCTATACTTATGTATATTATATACTGTCGCATTTTCGTACGTATTAGCGCCTAAGGTTTAAAATCATTTACGATAATACTTATAAATAAACGATAATATATAGATGGTAGGGTTTGATTCTTCTTTGCGTAGTTCCGCGCCCCGTGAACACAAAAGACCCTGGGTACGAGGTATTGAATATGAATGCATAGGGTTGGATTCTTTTGATATTGTGGTGTGTTTTCTCCGATATAAATTAATTACACAAAAACTTATGAAGGTTTTAGGCTTTTACGTGCGAGTAAATTCAAAACGCGAAATTGGAGAGAGCGGACCTTACTTTATGCCCATTCGACATTGATTTGGAAAGGATTTCGTACAATTTTTCGCTGTTATCTGCACTGGCTGAGTTCGGCAAGACTCTAACTGCAAACGTGTCCTTGACTGAATCCTAAGAAATTAAAGTATACAAAGATGCGTAATATTGCAAGTTTAAGAGGAGGGATTTGTCCCAAGTGCCGAAAGGCGTCTCCATGAGCTTACATTCCTTCTCGCCAGATCTATAACTGACGCGTAATTCTAACACTGTGCTCGAAAATATTAAATATTACAGAAAAAATATAATCTCAAATCTATTTTTTTATACTGCGGTGTTATGCTAGCTCATTTCTGGACAGGTACTGTACTATGTCTTTGCATGCATATTGTTTTATTGCTAATCCTAGCGCGATTGATAATTATAGCTTGTCTTTTACAGGAAATGGCCTTCTGGTGTTTTCATCTTCAACAAAATCAATAACTGCACTACCACAGTCTTCTTCGTCATCACAATTTTTGGTTGTTTTTACTTCGTTTTGGGTTGAAATATATGAATTAAGTAAAACGTGAATTTCATTATTGCTAAATTTTTGAAAAAAAGAACTGCTTATTTATAACCGTCCACTCAGTTCGTTTCATCTGCACAGAAATGTTCAGGCGGTAGACAATTTTTATTTGTTATTTGTCCACGCCTGGAAGATTTCTATACAGATGAAACTGACAATATATTGGACGTTTCTTGGAAAGCAATACTTTTTAAGGATATATATTCTATATTTATGTATATTATATATGCTGTGCGCATTTTCGTACGTATAAGCGCCTAAGGTTTAAAATCATTTACTTTAATACTTATAAATAAACGATTGAATATGATGGTGGATAGGGTTGGATTCTTCGTTACGTAGTTCCCCGCCCCGTGAAGACAAAAGACCCTGGGTACGAGGTTGTGAATATGAATGTATAGGGTTTGATTCTTTTGATATTGTGGTGTGTTTTCTCTGTTATAAATTAATTACACAAAAACTTATGAAGGTTTTAGGTTTTTGTGTGCGAGTAAAACCAAAAACGCGAAAATGGAGAGAGCGGACCTTACTTTATGCCCATTCGACATTGACTTGGAAACGATTTCGTACAATGTTTCGCGGTTATCTGCATTGGCTGAGTTCGGCAAGACTCTAACTGCAAACGTGTCCTTGACTGAATCCTAAGAAATTAAAGTATACAAAGACGCGTAATATTGCAAGTTTAAGAGTAAGGATTTGTCCCAAGTGCTGAAAGGCGTGTCCATGAGCTTACACTCTTTCTGGCAAGATCAACAACTGACACGTAATTCTAACACTGTGCACGAAAATATTAAATATTACAGAAAAAATATAATCTCAAATCTATTTTTTTATACTGCGGTGTTACAGCTAGCTCATTTCTGGACAGGTACTGTACTATGTCTATGAATGTTGTTTTATTGCTAATCCTAGCGCGATTGATGAATATACCTTGTCTTTTACAGGAAATGGCCTTCTTCTGTTTTCATCTTCAACAAAATCAACAACTGCACTACCACAGTCTTCTTCGTCATCACAATTTTTGGTTGTTTTTACCTTCGTTTTGGGTTGAAATATATGAATTAAGTAAAACGTGAATTTCATTATCGCTAAACTTTTGAAAAAAAGAACTGCCTATTTATAACCGTCCACTCAGTTCGTTTCATCTGCACAGAAATCTTCAGGCGGTAGACAATTTTTATTTGTTATTTGTCCATGCCTGGAAGATTTCTATACGGATGAAAATGACAGTATAGTCGATCGTTTCTTGGAAAGCAATACTTTTTAAGGATAAATTCCATATTTATGTATATTATATATGCTGTGCGCATTTTCGTACGTATAAGCGCCTAAGGTTTAAAATCATTTACTTTAATACTTATAAATAAACGATTGAATATAGATGGTGGATAGGGTTGGATTCTTCGTTACGTAGTTCCCCGCCCCGTGAAGACAAAAGACCCTGGGTACGAGGTTGTGAATATGAATGCATAGGGTTTGATTCTTTTGATATTGTGGTGTGTTTTCTCTGTTATAAATTAATTACACAAAAACGTATGAAGGTTTTAGGCTTTCGCGTGCGAGTAAAATCAAAAACGCGGGAATGGAGAGAGCGGACCTTACTTTATGCCCATTCGACATTGACTTGGAAACGATTTCGTACAATGTTTCGCGGTTATCTGCATTGGCTGAGTTCGGCAAGACTCTAACTGCAAACGTGTCCTTGACTGAATCCTAAGAAATTAAAGTATACAAAGACGCGTAATGTTGCAAGTTTAAGAGGAGGGATTTGTCCCAAGTGCCGAAAGGCGTCTCCATGAGCTTACATTCTTTCTCGCAAGATCTATAACTGACGCGTAATTCTAAAACTGTGCTCGAAAATATTAAATATTACAGAAAAAATATAATCTCAAATCTATTTTTTTATACTGCGGTGTTATGCTAGCTCATTTCTGGACAGGTACTGTACTATGTCTTTGCATGCATATTGTTTTATTGCTAATCCTAGCGCGATTGATAATTATACCTTGTCTTTTACAGGAAATGGCCTTCTGCTGTTTTCATCTTCAACAAAATCAACAACTGCACTACCACAGTCCTCTTCGTCATCACAATTTTTCGTTGTTTCTACCTTCATTTTGGGTTGAAATATATGAATTAGGTAAAATGTGAATTTCATTATCGCTAAACTTTTGAAAAAAATAACTGCTTATTTATAACCGTTCACTCAGTTCGTTTCATCAGCACAGAAATCTTCAGGCGGTAGACAATTTTTATTTGTTATATTTGTTGACGCCTGGAGGATTTCTATACGGATGAAACTGACAGTATAGTGGACGTTTCTTGGAAAGCAATACTTTTTAAGGATATACAGTATATTCTATACTTATGTATATTATATATGCTGTCCGCATTTTCGTACGTATTAGCGCCTAAGGTTTAAAATCATTTACGATAATACTTATAAAATAAACGATATAATATAGATGGTAGGGTTTGATTCTTCTTTGCGTAGTTCCGCGCCCCGTGAACACAAAAGACCCTGGGTACGAGGTATTGAATATGAATGCATAGGGTTGGATTCTTTTGATATTGTGGTGTGTTTTCTCCGATATAAATTAATTACACAAAACTTATGAAGGTTTTAGGCTTTTACGTGCGAGTAAATTCAAAACGCGAAAATGGAGAGAGCGGACCTTACTTTATGCCCATTCGACATTGATTTGGAAAGGATTTCGTACAATTTTTCGCTGTTATCTGCACTGGCTGAGTTCGGCAAGACTCTAACTGCAAACGTGTCCTTGACTGAATCCTAAGAAATTAAAGTATACAAAGATGCGTAATATTGCAAGTTTAAGAGGAGGGATTTGTCCCAAGTGCCGAAAGGCGTCTCCATGAGCTTACATTCCTTCTCGCCAGATCTATAACTGACGCGTAATTCTAACACTGTGCTCGAAAATATTAAATATTACAGAAAAAATATAATCTCAAATCTATTTTTTTATACTGCGGTGTTATGCTAGCTCATTTCTGGACAGGTACTGTACTATGTCTTTGCATGCATATTGTTTTATTGCTAATCCTAGCGCGATTGATAATTATAGCTTGTCTTTTACAGGAAATGGCCTTCTGGTGTTTTCATCTTCAACAAAATCAATAACTGCACTACCACAGTCTTCTTCGTCATCACAATTTTTGGTTGTTTTTATCTTCGTTTTGGGTTGAAATATATGAATTAAGTAAAACGTGAATTTCATTATTGCTAAACTTTTGAAAAAAAGAACTGCTTATTTATAACCGTCCACTCAGTTCGTTTCATCTGCACAGAAATGTTCAGGCGGTAGACAATTTTTATTTGTTATTTGTCCACGCCTGGAAGATTTCTATACAGATGAAACTGACAATATATTGGACGTTTCTTGGAAAGCAATACTTTTTAAGGATATATATTCTATATTTATGTATATTATATATGCTGTGCGCATTTTCGTACGTATATGCGCCTAAGGTTTAAAATCATTTACTTTAATACTTATAAATAAACGATTGAATATGGATGGTGGATAGGGTTGGATTTTTCGTTACGTAGTTCCCCGCCCCGTGAAGACAAAAGACCCTGGGTACGAGGTTGTGAATATGAATGTATAGGGTTTGATTCTTTTGATATTGTGGTGTGTTTTCTCTGTTATAAATTAATTACACAAAAACTTATGAAGGTTTTAGGTTTTTTGTGCGAGTAAAACCAAAAACGCGAAAATGGAGAGAGCGGACCTTACTTTATGCCCATTCGACATTGACTTGGAAACGATTTCGTACAATGTTTCGCGGTTATCTGCATTGGCTGAGTTCGGCAAGACTCTAACTGCAAACGTGTCCTTGACTGAATCCTAAGAAATTAAAGTATACAAAGACGCGTAATATTGCAAGTTTAAGAGTAGGGATTTGTCTCAAGTGCTGAAAGGCGTGTCCATGAGCTGACATTCTTTCTGGCAAGATCCACAACTGACGCGTAATTCTAACACTATGCGCGAAAATATTAAATATTACAGAAAAAATATTATCTCAAATATATTTTTTTATACTGCGGTGTTATAGCTAGCTCATTTCTGGACAGGTACTGTACTATGTCTATGCATCTTGTTTTATTGCTAATCCTAGCGCGATTGATAATTATACCTTGTCTTTTACAGGAAATGGCCTTCTGGTGTTTTCATCTTCAACAAAATCAACAACTGCACTACCACAGTCTTCTTCGTCATCACAATTTTTGGTTGTTTTTACCTTCGTTTTGGGTTGAAATATATGAATAAAGTAAAACGTGAATTTCATTATTGCTAAACTTTTGAAAAAAAGAACTGCTTATTTATAACCGTCCACTCTGTTCGTTTCATCTGCACAGAAATGTTCAGGCGGTAGACAATTTTTATTTGTTATTTGTCCACGCTTGGAAGATTTCTATACTGATGAAACTGACAATATATTCGACGTTTCTTGGAAAGCAATACTTTTTAAGGATATATATTCTATATTTATGTATATTATATATGCTGTGCGCATTTTCGTACGTATAAGCGCCTAAGGTTTAAAATCATTTACTTTAATACTTATAAATAAACGATTGAATATAGATGGTGGATAGGGTTGGATTCTTCGTCACGTAGTTCTCCGCCCCGTGAAGACAAAAGACCCTGGGTACGAGGTTGTGAATATGAATGCATAGGGTTGGATTCTTTTGATATTGTGGTGTGTTTTCTCTGTTATAAATTAATTACACAAAAACTTATGAAGGTTTTAGGCTTTCGCGTGCGAGTAAAATCAAAAACGCGGGAATGGAGAGAGCGGACCTTACTTTATGCCCATTCGACATTGACTTGGAAACGATTTCGTACAATGTTTCGCGGTTATCTGCATTGGCTGAGTTCGGAAAGACTTTAACTGCAAACGTGTCCTTGACTGAATCCTAAGAAATTAAAGTATACAAAGACGCGTAATATTGCAAGTTTAAGAGTAAGGATTTGTCCCAAGTGCTGAAAGGCGTGTCCATGAGCTTACACTCTTTCTGGCAAGATCACAACTGACACGTAATTCTAACACTGTGCACGAAAATATTAAATATTACAGAAAAAATATAATCTCAAATCTATTTTTTTATACTGCGGTGTTATAGCTAGCTCATTTCTGGACAGGTACTGTACTATGTCTATGCATGTTGTTTTATTGCTAATCCTAGCGCGATTGATAATATACCTTGTCTTTTACAGGAAATGGCCTTCTGTGTTTTCATCTTCAACAAAATCAACAACTGCACTACCACAGTCTTCTTCGTCATCACAATTTTTGGTTGTTTTTACCTTCGTTTTGGGTTGAAATATATGAATTAAGTAAAACGTGAATTTCATTATCGCTAAACTTTTGAAAAAAAGAACTGCCTATTTATAACCGTCCACTCAGTTCGTTTCATCTGCACAGAAATCTTCAGGCGGTAGACAATTTTTATTTGTTATTTGTCCACGCCTGGAAGATTTCTATACGATGAAATGACAGTATAGTCGACGTTTCTTGGAAAGCAATACTTTTTAAGGATATAAATTCTATATTTATGTATATTATATATGCTGTGCGCATTTTCGTACGTATAAGCGCCTAAGGTTTAAAATCATTTACTTTAATACTTATAAATAAACGATTGAATATAGATGGTGGATAGGGTTGGATTCTTCGTTACGTAGTTCCCCGCCCCGTGAAGACAAAAGACCCTGGGTACGAGGTTGTGAATATGAATGCATAGGGTTTGATTCTTTTGATATTGTGGTGTGTTTTCTCTGTTATAAATTAATTACACAAAAACGTATGAAGGTTTTAGGCTTTCGCGTGCGAGTAAAATCAAAAACGCGGGAATGGAGAGAGCGGACCTTACTTTATGCCCATTCGACATTGACTTGGAAACGATTTCGTACAATGTTTCGCGGTTATCTGCATTGGCTGAGTTCGGCAAGACTCTAACTGCAAACGTGTCCTTGACTGAATCCTAAGAAATTAAAGTATACAAAGACACGTAATATTGCAAGTTTAAGAGGAGGGATTTGTCCCAAGTGCTGAAAGGCGTCTCCATGAGCTTACATTCTTTCTGGCAAGATCTATAACTGTCGCGTAATTCTAAAACTGTGCGTGAAAGTATTAAATATTACAGAAAAAATATTATCTCAAATATATTTTTTTATACTGCGGTGTTATAGCTAGCTCATTTCTGGACAGGTACTGTACTATGTCTATGCATCTTGTTTTATTGCTAATCCTAGCGCAATTGATGAATATACCTTGTCTTTTACAGGAAATGGCCTTCTGCTGTTTTCATCTTCAACAAAATCAACAACTGCACTACCACAGTCTTCTTCGTCATCACAATTTTTGGTTGTTTTTACCTTCGTTTTGGGTTGAAATATATAAATTAAGTAAAACGTGAATTTCATTATCGCTAAACTTTTGAAAAAAAGAACTGCCTATTTATAACCGTCCACTCAGTTCGTTTCATCTGCACAGAAATCTTCAGGCGGTAGACAATTTTTATTTGTTATTTGTCCATGCCTGGAAGATTTCTATACGGATGAAAATGACAGTATAGTCGACGTTTCTTGGAAAGCAATACTTTTTAAGGATATAAATTCTATATTTATGTATATTATATATGCTGTGCGCATTTTCGTACGTATAAGCGCCTAAGGTTTAAAATCATTTACTTTAATACTTATAAATAAACGATTGAATATAGATGTTGGATAGGGTTGGATTCTTCGTTACGTAGTTCCCCGCCCCGTGAAGACAAAAGACCTTGGGTACGAGGTTGTGAATATGAATGCATAGGGTTTGATTCTTTTGATATTGTGGTGTGTTTTCTCTGTTATAAATTAATTACACAAAAACGTATGAAGGTTTTAGGCTTTCGCGTGCGAGTAAAATAAAAAACGCGGGAATGGAGAGAGCGGACCTTACTTTATGCCCATTCGACATTGACTTGGAAACGATTTCGTACAATGTTTCGCGGTTATCTGCATTGGCTGAGTTCGGCAAGACTCTAACTGCAAACGTGTCCTTGACTGAATCCTAAGAAATTAAAGTATACAAAGACACGTAATATTGCAAGTTTAAGAGGAGGGATTTGTCCCAAGTGCTGAAAGGCGTCTCCATGAGCTTACATTCTTTCTGGCAAGATCTATAATTGTCGCGTAATTCTAAAACTGTGCGTGAAAATATTAAATATTACAGAAAAAATATTATCTCAAATATATTTTTTTATACTGCGGTGTTATAGCTAGCTCATTTCTGGACAGGTACTGTACTATGTCTATGCATCTTGTTTTATTGCTAATCTTAGCACGATTGATAATTATACCTTGTCTTTTACAGGAAATGGCCTTCTGGTGTTTTCATCTTCAACAAAATCAACAACTGCACTACCACAGTCTTCTTCGTCATCACAATTTTTGGTTGTTTTTACCTTCGTTTTGGGTTGAAATATATGAATTAAGTAAAACGTGAATTTCATTATCGCTAAACTTTTGAAAAAAAGAACTGCTTATTTATAACCGTCCACTCAGTTCGTTTCATCTGCACAGAAATCTTCAGGCGGTAGACAATTTTTATTTGTTATTTGTTGACGCCAGGAGGATTTCTATGCGGATGAAACTGACAGTATAGTGGACGTTTCTTGGAAAGCAATACTTTTTAAGGATATATATTCTATACTTATATGTATATTATATATGCTGTCCGCATTTTCGTACGTTTATTTTTGACTTTGATGTATATTCTCTAGATTTCATTGGCCACCTTATTCATGCTATTGTACGTTTATTTCTTGACGTTGAATGCCTTTAGATGATAATGAATGGTTATACATATTTAAATTTTGGTATTGAATATGAGCTTAATGCAATTCGCTGTCCATTCCCCCTCATTCATATTTTAACGCTTTTTTGGTCGCTGGCTCACACAAATGATACCTCGTTTTATCGTTATGAGTAATAAACGGTGTAATGTAATTTAGCATTGTTAAGAAATAGAAGGTCAATATCGACGAGGAACTTACTTGGGGAACATGTCACATAAGATGAAGTGTGAAGTAAATATTATTATGACCCTTCGGAATCACAAAATTACTTTTCCTGTCATGAGGTGACAGCCCATGGGATTTCCTCCGAAACAATAGTATGTCGTAGTGACAGTCGTACAAAGTACAAGTGTCACGACTCAAGAACATAAATTCTAGGCGGAAACTAGTTTGTGTCAATCATTTCTTTGTTATATTTTGCTCGGTTAAGCACTTGAAGCCTTATGGCGCTAAAAGCTTAATTCGATGAAATTATTTGTAAAATAGTTATAAGTTGAGATACGGTTCACAGAGTACTAAGTTGATAATTGTACTTTAAGTTGATGATAAATATTTTAAGTTGTGAACAAGTTTTAACAGTGATCGATTAAGTAAAAGACCAACTTGACTAGTGCGTCACCGGCCTTAAGTAAACAAAGTATGAGAGCTGGACCAAGCTTCTAACGCCAACCCACACATACAACCTACAACACTGATTGGATTGTGTGAATCACATAACCTTGCACAGGCGTCTTCAAGATCCCCTCAAATTTTATTATAAAAGGAGGCGCACAGCAACAGAACATTCAGTGGACTAGCGGAGTAAAAAGCATATTAAACGTTGGAGAAGCTCAACCTTACAATACCAAAGACAGTGACAGCAACGACGAATATTTGAAGAAGAGAAGAGAAGGACGGAGAAAGAAGAGAACATTAGTGAACTTTAGTCGATCCTTGTAAAGATCTCCTACCTCGCGTAAATAGAAAATAAAGCTACATAACAACTTTATTCCGTAGCTGTTTATACAAGGTATTATTGTTTTGTGTAAAAGCCTTCAGCCTCTTTTTTATCAAACATTTTAGGTTGCTGTTCATCCAGGGTTGATCATTCTTGTTCAACCTTTGTAGTGTGATATAACAAATAGTAACTCACTAATATTACTTATTACTAATATTAACTAATGACGTCATGATGTATATAAGTGTTTGACATTAAAGGGTATTATTGTTCGAGACATAATTGCACATGGTGGCAGCTGTGGGATCTATACAAAACAGCTATTTATAAATATGGCAGAATTAAGCAACGGCGACGAAGAAAATATTGTGCGAAGTTTTACAACGTTTCAAATAACACTGCCGTCAAAGTTTAGCTTTCAATCCTCGGAATGGACCCGATGGATTCGCCGATTTGAGCGGTTTAGAATTGCTACAGAACTCGATAAGAAAGACGAAAGAAACGAGTCAATGCGCTTATCTGTACTATGGGCGATGAGGCAGACGATATAATCACATCGTTTGGCCAGAGCGACGAGGAGATCAAAAGCTACGAAACAGTTCGAAACAAGTTAAAAAATCACTTCATCAATGAACGAAATGTGATTTTCGAAAAGGCGAAATTTAATGTTCGAACTCAAGACGAAAACGAACCAGTGGAAAGCTTCATTACCGCCCTACATTGCCTCGCCAAGTACTGCGAATTTGGGGTACTGAAAGATCAATTGATACGAGATCGAATCGTAGTTGGACTGCAAAACAAAAAACTATCGGAGAAGTTACAACTAGATCCAAATTTCACTCTACAGAAAGCTATGTCTCAAGCAAGACAAAGCGAGGAAATCAAAAAGCAACAAAGTGTTATTCACGGAGAAAAAGTTACAGGAAATAGCGAGCGCAATATCGACAACATATCTAGGAATAGAAAGCAACAACGTTCCCGTGAAGGTCAGTTTACTCAGAGTACTAGTAAACACAACAAATTTTACAAGCCCAAATGTTCACCGTGTCTCGGAACACCACACTCCACGGGCAATTGTGCCAAGCAAGTGAGTCCATATGTCATAATTGTTCGAAGAAGGGACATTGGGCAAAGGCATGTCGAAGCCAAACGGGCCAACAATTCCGAAAGCAAGAAATAAACGAATTAAATTTCAGGCAAGAAAACAGGGAAGAGAATTTGTCAGAAGATGAGGCATATTTCTTGATTGAAATATTACACCTAGACACTGTGGGCAACACTAGCAGTAAACTGTGGACTGCCGACATCAAAGTAAATGAAGAAAACATCAGATTCAAAACCGACAGTAGCGCTAACGTCACAGTGATACCATTAAAAATATCTACCTCTAAAGCTCCTCTAAAGCTCCACTACACTAGAAGCACAAGTCCATGTAAGCACAAGCTGAACTCTATTGGAACATTCGCATCACAGCTCCGACATGAAGACCAGAAAACGACAGAAGAAATATTTGTAGTGAAAGACTTAGAAAGACCACTACTCGGAAGGCAAGCATACCAAAATCTGAAGCTAATCGATCCAGTCAACGTGGATGTACTAAACAAGGTTGAAACAGAAAAAAACATAAGAGAAAAGCATCCCAATCTCTTCACTGGTCTCGGACAAATTAAAAACCTCGAATACGATATCAAAATCACTAAAGATGCAATCCCGTTTGCCATCACAGTGCCACGACAAGTACCGATTCCACTCCGCAAAGAAACTCAACGAGAAATAAAAAGAATGGAACAAAACGGAGTAATATCGCGAATTGAAGATCGGACTGAATGGTGCGCCCCGATGGTGGTAACACCAAAAAGCAATGGAAAGGTTCGGATATGTGTAGATCTCACAAAGCTCACTACCAATACCTGAAACAACATTTGCAAACCTTGCTGGTGCTCGCCATTTCTCAAAATTAGATGCGAACTCGGGATCCTGGCAAATTAGACTGTCAGAAAAGGCAAGACCTCCCACAACGTTCTTCACCCCATGGGAACGATATTGCTTTAATGTTCTTCCCTTTGGAATAAGCTCAGGCTCTGAAAAGTTTCAGAAGTGTATGTCTGAAATTCTCGAAGGCTGAGAAGGTGTCGAATGCAATATTGATGATGTTCTAATATATGGCACAACGCAAGAGGAGCACGACCAAAGATTGGAAAATGTACTCCAACGACTCGGCGATGCCAACGTCACCCTCAATCCTGAAAAGTGTGTATTCAACGTCCCCAGCGTGAAATGTTTAGGTCAGATTGTTGGATCTGACGGCATAAAACCAGACCCAGAGAAAATACAAGCAATCCTAAAAATGCCACCACCAACCAACCTACATGAAGTCCTTTCCTTCCTGGGTATGGTGAATCAATTCCTCAAATTTACCACCAATCTCGCAGTCATGACAAAATCCATTCGCGAGCTGCTGGTCAAAAACACCGCATGGACATCGGGACCTCCACAACTCACAATTGTTGACGGGTTATTACTAAAAGGAACAAGACTAGTTATTCCATCCAGTTTTCAACGCCAAATCCTTGCCCAAATACACCAAGGTCACCAAGGGATTAACAAATGCAGAGAACGAGCCAAGATATCCGTTTGGTGGCCAGGACTTCGTGCACAAATCAAAACTATTGTTGAAATTTGTACACCTTGCAGCAAGTGCAGACAACAGCACGCAGAACCGTTGATCCTAATGCCACTCCCAGCAAGACCATGGAAACTGATCGCAACAGACTTGTTTATTTTAGAAAAGGTGGCCTATCTACTAGTGGTAGATTATTATTCTCGATATATTGAAGTTGTGGCACTAACCAAAGATACAAGTTCAACGAAGATAATACAAGCTTTAAAAGCTATCTTTGCCAGGTACGGGAATCCGGACGAAGTACGTTCCGACAATGGGCCCCAATACCACAGTGACGAGTTCGCCCAGTTTGCAAAAGAATGGGGATTCAAGCATAGTACCAGTAGTCCTCGTTATCCTCAAGCGAATGGAGAGGTAGAACGGTCAGTAAGGACAGTGAAAAAAATCTTGAAGAAAAAAAAGATCCCGCAAAACCAATGTTAGCATATAGATCAACACCATTAGCAAGTAGATATTCGCCAGCGGAACTCCTCATGGGGAGAAAGATAAAATCAACAATACCAATAATTGCACAACAGCTCACACTGCAGCTACCAAACCAGGAACTTTTTAAAGCAAAGGAAGAAGAATTTTGATAATCGCGATAATGCTCGAACTATGAAGCCTTTGACATCAGGAACAACAGTTTATGTGACAGATATGAACTGCACAGGAACAGTAATCAAAACATCCAACAAACCAAGATCATATTTGGTTGACACCCCTACGAAAGTTATAAGAAGGAACAGAGCACAACTGCGTAGTATTCCAAATGACACCATAGTGTAGCACGGCGACAAGAAACAAGAGAAGCAGGAAAACCCACCTAATACGAATACGAACAACAGACCGAAAAGAATAAAAACTCTTTCTTTAAAGGCCAGAGACAATCTGGGACTAGAATAACTAAGTACCGTTTGGTTTTAAACTATAAGACAGAACAATACAGTCGTTGACATTATATGTTGACAAATCGAAGAAAAGGGAGATGTAGTGTGATATAACAAG